CTTTAATTCCAACAACATATTCAAGTCTTTCTAAAAGAATATTCTGGTCAACTGGATCAAATGCAGCACTGAGAATATTGGACCATAAAAAACAGATTTACCTTCACAGCCTCAGAAGGGCAAGATTTATGGACAAAAAGTAAAGCTGTTCATTAAATTATGTTTTGTTTTTTTACTGGTTTTTGTTGTTGGCATTCATATAAACTTTGATCATGTATTTGTATGTTTTGATCCCTCAGATGAAATAGGCTAATGTTGATGCACCCTCTTCACCCAAAGAACCAGCTGTTATAGTTTCAGTTTTCTTTGAAAAAAAAAATCACTGCATATCAGAAAATAACATGGTAATACACCCTTGTTTGGAGGTTTTTCCACTTCATTTCCACCCTTAGTCTGCCTGCTGGCAGATGAATAAATGATAAACAAACACAAAATGGAATAAAGGAAACCAAAAATTGGGCTGTTATTTGATTTTCCTTTTTTGTTTTATTTGTTTTGAAAATTATTATTTTTTTTATTTTTGGCGGTTTTGTCAAAAAATTATATTATATTTTGATACTTTGACCCCTGGACCTAAACTAGAGAACATAAATTCATCTTTATTGTTTATTTATCTTCCTTTTAATTTTAACTGCTTTTTAATTCTTGTGACAAAAACTATGACGACTTTTTTTTCTGTCTTAAATCTAAGTTAATAATAAGTATTATTCTATAATAATATATTTCCTCTATAACCATAGCAGTGTAATTTCAGATATTACAGGTTTTATAATGTTATTCCCAGCAGGTTAATATGAAATTATTTATCTTTACGATAAATAATCAACTAGTTATTATAATTTGTTTCTCCTGTGAAGTTATATAGCTCTAAATAAATGTCACTTTACAAAAAATCAAAGTTACATTTTATTTATGATCTTTATAAATTAAGAATTTCAAAATAAACAGTTTAATAATCAGCTAGTATTCAAACATGGAAATCTGGTTAAAGTGGGGAAACTGTGATCACATGACTGCAGAGTCATCTGTTGTCAGGTAGATTTACTTGGCAGCAAATAATCCAGCAAATGTAAATATGAATTTAATAATAATAACTCACCTGTATAACTATTTGTTGATCTGAATTAAAAGATAGATCTAAAGTATTAAACATATAATAAAATATGAAATACTAAATAAAAGTAAATCTGACATCTGAACCTGATGGAGCAGAAGTTTCTATTGGCTTAAATCCAGTGAATGTGATCTACAGTCAGAGAGGATCTGAGGATCATCAGGAGGAGATTAAACACAAACACTCACCTGATTTAGTCAGAACAGCCGAGTAGGCAATACCAACGTGGTTCAGGCAGTATCTCTCCTTATCAGCTCTCAGCCCTTGAATATACCCAGTTAGATTGTTGAAGTAGTTGGCCTGGTAGATCCCCCACTCCGTGTATCCAACAAACTTCCCCAAACTGCTGCTGAACCTGCAGAACTCCTTTTTGTTGTAAACCAAGGATCTGCTGAACTCGATGTCCTTCAGATCAGGGGAGGTGAACTCACAAAGATCCACCTGGTAATTCTCAAACCCATCTGAGAAACAGAACCAGAACAGAACCTCAGACCTGCTCAATGAGCAGAGAGTTAATTTATGGACAGATGAACTGATCAATGATCATTTGATTGATTTAATGTTTTAATTACATCATACTAACTGATTATTATACTCTGTCATTAATCTGTGTAATAAAACAAAGATTCCTACATCAGTCTAATAATCAGTGATTGATTGATTGATTGATTGATTAGTGGATTATTGCTCCTACCTGCAGCAGGGACGGTGAAGAAGAGGAGGAAGCAGCAGCAGAGCAGTGATGAAGAATCCATGTTTCTCTATCAGCTTCAGTCCAGGAACTGACTGAGTCTGACTAGAAGCTGCTGCTAGAACCTGGAGAACCGCCCCCTGCTGCTGCTGCATCACTAGTTACCAGGAAGAAGAGACTGACTGAGTCTGACTAGAAGCTGCTGTTAGAACCTGGAGAACCGCCCCCTGCTGCTGCATCACTAGTTACCAGGTAGAAGAGACTGACTGAGTCTGACTAGAAGCTGCTGTTAGAACCTGGAGAACCGCCCCCTGCTGCTGCATCACTAGTTACCAGGTAGAAGAGACTGACTG